AAAACTATTTTTTTTTTCAATTCAAGGGATTAATATATTTTCTTGTTTTCTGACGTTATTAAATAAACTACTGATCTGATAGGCATAGAACGACTTTTTGGTGCAAAAGTATTCAGAAGGTACACGAAAAGAATATATTTACGAAGAAGGTATTTAGCGTGGAATTAACAATGACTAAATTATTAATGTTTCATTTCACCTATTACTATATTAGGATGAAAGATTAATAGGAGATAAATTTGATCATGTTTTGGGGATTGGAAAATCATGTTTGAGTAATTTATTTTGGGAATAAAAGCCGATAAGAAGCTTTGATTAAATTAACGTGTTTTTGGTTCTGTTAAGCTATTTGTTGATTTAAAATCAACCGTTAAATTTTGATGAAACCATTTATTGGTTTTAATAAGGAAATGTATTATAGTTAATGAAACAAATTATGGTTCTAATATGTTTATAAATAAAATAAAAATATTTATATAAATAAATAGTAAAATATAATTTCAAAGTATTAACAGGTAAACAAAATATGTTTTGGAAAACTACAAGCGATCACATTCTATTAAAATAAACACCAACATGGAAGTAACAAACATATGCACAAAAAAAGAAGGTAATGTTATTTTGACATCACTACACTATGGTGTCAAAGGGGCTTTGTTTAAGCCATGTTAAGTTTAATTAACAAACAAAGTGTAACGTCAATAAAAAAACAAAGCCGAGTTTAGCTCAAATGTCTGGCTACGGTTAAGCTTGTCAGTATGAAAACGCTTTGAAACGGCTATAGAGATTTTGGTGTGTGTTTAACTGTTGCAATATTTATAAAACAAGATTACCAACCGGGGATTATATGCGAGTCAGATTTTATCATGGTTTTAGAAGTTATTTACATTTTTGAGATACATCAAAGCTGTAGATCCTATCACAAAGTAAAACCGTTGGAGGCTTATGAATATTTTTTTTGTAATTTTTAACTTATAGCATGATAATGCGCTTAAATGTCTTTAAATAGACGTTTATATCGTACAAAAAGAGCGAGAAAATATTTAGTTGCAGGAAACTGCGCAAGGAAAATATGCAATAAATTGAGAATTTCAATGTACTTTAAGATGTATGATACATGTATGATGGAGACATAAGTTTAACGGTGATGACTTTAGAAACTGACTACATTTTCTACCTCATAACATTGAAAAAAAAAAATTATTCACGTTAACAACATAGTGAATTGTTTGAATATCATTTCAATTATTCGAAATATTCAGAGATGTTTTTGTTACAATGTTTTTACGTGGCAACACTTCCAAAATTGCATCTTTAGTGAAAGACATGAACTTATACGGGTTAATGCTCGAATAGGAGTTTTCAATTTTATTTTAACGTCAATATTTGAAGTTATTATTAGTAGAAATCGGTTGATGTGTATAAATATTTATGTTGTACCCACATGTATATCGTAATTTAAGGGAACAACTTAGTTTATTTGTATACCATTGTAATTGTCTAATATAATTAGATACAATTAATTCATTAATTTTTTGTAAAATAATAAACGACGAAACATATCAAAAGGGTGTATTTAATATTTTAATCAGCGTTGCCTCCAGGATTGATTTAAGACAATATAAAATAGGTTTACGTACGTCGTCAATCCTAGTATAGTCTCAGGCGACTGATTCGAAACTGATGTTTCATTTTCAAGCCTTGTCTAATATTATTTGAACATGATGTCGTCGTCGAAATACACAAATAATTTAACACACACGGATACATTAACTTAACAAAAAACTGATTTAATATATCTTTAGCCTAATCAACGAGGGCGAATTTTCCAACCAAACTATAAACTCCACACCCTTGCGCTAAAATGTACGACGAATAACCAATGAGTGTTTCACAATATTCGGACATGTCAGCAGGTTATACATTTGATATCATAGAGGCTGTTCGGTTGGAGGGGGGGGGAAGGCAGGTATTAGTCTGGAGCTGGGGGAATCTCCCGTCCTGACAGTCTGGAAATAATTAATAACAGGTGATGCCGTCGGAACGGTCGGCATTCTGCTTCTGCCTTACCCCGCCCTGTATCTCACTGTCTGTAGGCCGACGATCGATGGGGAAACTGGATAGAATCTGAGTATAGAGAAAAGTGTTACTTTTAAAACACTTGAAATGCTTTTTAGTGTCATTTCTTCACGCTTTTGGCTAGAACCTTGTGCGGAACCGTTAAAACAAACACTTCAGGCATACAGGGTCGTGAAATGATTAAAAGATAAAAACCATTACCTATGACGGGGATTGAACCCGAGACCTCAAAAACCAAAGCACACAACCACTAGACCAGTTTTCTCACACAGAATTTTAAGTAAGGGTAGTAGCAATCTGGGTAGGTGAGTACTCATAGTGCTAGTCTAGTACCTAACTATACGGCAGCCGGTCTGTTCCTGGTAAAGAGGAGCTTCGATAGTTCAAAACTGAACCTAACCGTACATACAACCAATAAATGTATCCACCTGATGGATTCATTTCCATAAAAAGGGACGCTGAATATAATACGAAATGTGGAGTAAGGTTAGGGAGCGTAATTCGTGTAAGATTGAGCTTACGTAGTAAATGGTCCTGACTACATAAACGGCTGGGCTTAATCAGTTAGAGGGAAACAAAAATAATTTTTACATATTCTAAAGACACAGCTGTAAACACTTTGGATCTAATTGAATGCCTAATATGTGAAAATAGTCTCTATTTCAAACCTCCCAAATCGGTAAATGCAAATAAAACTGTGTTGTTGTGCTTTTTGTGCTACGTTATTTTGCAAGGACCAGTTTAAGTATTTTATTGCATTGTAAAATAACAGAGGTATACAAATGTCCACACATGTCAAGTAAAATATAAAACGTACAGTGTTAATTTCAGTGAAATACATTGTAAATATTGTATTTCATTATTTGACTTCGCTAATACTGATTACGTTTAGTAAAAATAATCGATTCACACCAAAGTCATCCCTTACCTTCATTCAAACCGTAATATTGAGAAATAAAACCGCGACCTAATATAAAATACATTGCTGTAGAATAACCAATTACATAGCGAACCCGACTAACCATGCATAATAGAGAAGTAGGTTGCCCGGCGGGACTTAAAAACCGTAACTTGATTACTCAAATGAACAGAACGACTGGGGGGGAAGGGGGTGTATAAGCACCAACATTTGTTGTAATTTCCAAGATCAACAAGGCTAGAACTGGCGCGTGGAGTCTGAGCTGTGATATTACTGCAGCGATGAAACTTTAACTGTAGGATAATGTGGTTGAGTTGTGGTTATATTGTGGCTGAGATGTGATTGGAGTGTCAGTTGGATTTTGAAAATGCGGTTTGAAGTGGGTAAATAATTATTAACATTGATCACATTTTTACAGAATATTTCTACATGGTAAGTTTTTCATAGGTTGTTGAGAGCCAAAAAGTTAAATTACTAATGTTTGTGTGTAGTGGTGTTATAAAAATGTTGCTACAAGGCAAACGGGATGATTTATCATGAGGATATATTTTAAGAGTTCTTAATAAAACTGAATTGGAATTTTACGTTATGGTGGATGTATATTCAACATTAATTAAGTTTGCAGAAAATCACCTATATTTAGTATGTTTAAAATATATTTGTCTTACTATATAATTGCTATTCTGTTGTATCATTGATCTAAGTAGGGGTCATTACAAGACAATCTAATTCCGAAAGAAATAAAAAGCGAAAACACCGATTGATGCACGGAAAAAATACGAATCTAATCTTTTGAAGCATTTTTACAACGAGGATAGTATGTTCGTCACAACCAAACGTAGTTTTTAAATATTGAAATTTAAACTGACAAAGATAATTAATTATTAATTTACCCAACAAAATCACTCATAAATGTTATGAATCACTAATTTTAGCATCACAACATCGGCAACGTCAACATACCATTATTTAAAACTATGAACAATACATCAAAGGAAAAGAACAAAAATTCTCCCGTGGGTCCAAAACAAAAAAACGGTATACAAATTGGACGATATCTTTTGTCATCGCTGCCTAAACGCTCATGGTCCATGCAGTATTTGGACGGTCCGGACTCTCTTCTCCTGGGACTCAGCAAGCCTTAATCTGGGAGCTCCGCTTGAATATTTCAACTTTGGGAATCCCCAAACAGTCAATTATTCACCAAACTGTTGTCCATGATCACAGGATGAGGGGACATATCAACAGTCTTGTTGTAGGTACTTTTGTTACTTTTCATTATTATATACGTCAAATTTATTAAGTAGGCCTACAGTGTTTTTTTTAATTCAGGCTTAATACAGACATTTAGTTAATAAACTAAAACATCCTACAAGAGAAAACCCTAAAAAAAATTTATTTGAGTGGTTTTGTACATTTGAGAACGTCATAAATTCAAAAACGGAATCCCATAAAAGTATGCTCATGTTTGGTTAAATAAATGTCAATTCCTTAAATCATGTTTAAATTGAGTATACGACGAGTGCTCGCCTAAAAGGGGAATTTGTATAGTACAGAAATTTGATTTAAGTTGAGTTTAAATATAATTGGTCCTATGATAATCATTCGTATTAGTTTAAGTGAAAGCAGTTCTCCCGTAATACAAACAAGTTCTGAATCATCTTTTTTTTTAATGTGGTACTACAGGTTAAAGCTGAAACTACCGAGCCAAAACTGTAGTTCATAGCTAAGACGATTGGTGATTGGCAAGATGTTAACGTTAGTTTTCAGATCAGAACACGCGCGCTCTGACCACTAGAAAGACTGCATCTATTAATCTTTTTAAAAGGGAATATGTATATTCATGAAAGAATTTCCATTGCATATTAGGGTCTTTTAATTTGGGAAAGGTGGTAATTCTTCAAGTGAACTAAGGACATAAGGTGTTACTGGAAGATACTGACTATGGTGTTTAAATGTACACAATATGGTGAGTTACTTGTATGTTATCATGTTTACTTACTTGGTAGAGGACCTCTAGTGTGATGGGGTACATCATATGTTCGATGATGACCCTGAGTACAGTGTTAGGCCCGCCCTGGGTGTCTGTTTGGCCAGAGAGAGCTTGGGCGGCTTGTAGGGCGGCCTGGGCTGACGCGTTCTGTAACAAAAAACAACTTGTCAAAAACCACTCAAATTGGTACCAGTGAATTTGTATTGTCTATGTCCTAAAATCAATCATGAAACACATGCAATATGGCAAGGACCTAATTTAGCCTTAAATGATTACATTGACACTTTCACATATTCATGTGACATCATTTAATTATTACCGCAAGCATTCTTTGCATGATGAAGGTATGTACGCAGGATCACAATTAATTAAATATAACGGTTTAATTCAAAACTGGCACACAGTACATTCTCAACAAGAATCACCTAGTGCGCAGACTAGTGCAATGTTTGAAAGTATTTGGTTAACATAGATAAATTCATCCGAAAATGGAAGATTGCTAAAACATTTTCTTAGCTAACATAAAATAGGGCCAACAAGACTTTTAATACCAAAAATCATCTAAGTTCTTACTTAGATGATTTTTGATGATTTTTGGTTTTTGTGTTCATGAACAGAAATATTTTGTGATCGTTTGGTAGATGATGTTCAAAATGGATATCCTGTACTAAGTGTTTAGCAACTGAAAAATCCGTTATGTAGGCCTATTACGATTGCAGGTTATTCAAGAAAAAATAATATGTGTTAACTAGCAAACATATAAATATTTTAAATTTAATTCAAATTACTGGATAATTAATTAAAGGCGAGAGGCATGATAAAGAAACTCGAACTCTTCAGTTTGGAAGTTTTTGCAAAGGTATTTTTGGAAAGTTAGGAGTTGTTTGCGATGGAAGGTAAGACACTTCTAGAGAGACGACCGTGCCGTGGGGGGAAGGGGTAATTAGAAATTAGAGTGACAATTCGCTAGGCCGACCCACCGCTTATAAATAATGAGATGGAGCCAAATCTGTCGGTGATGCGGCTTCAGGGCACAAGTCTTAACGAAGGAATTTGCTGATGACGATTAGGGCATTTAGAAACATTAGTGCCGTGGTTGAAAATAAATAATACTCAAAAGATATTGTAAAACCTAATGAATAGTTATGATGTTAAATGAGTAGTAAACCGTTGTTCCAGGTATACAAGAGTAGCATACTAAACATCCAAAGAGAGGCCCTTGAATTTTAAGTTAGGAAAAAAATGTAATGCTCTTACTAAAAACCGAAAGAGCAATTATTACAGTATGTGTACAAATAATCAAAACAATTTTTTACTACACCCCGCTAGGAGCCGTATAAAAAAACTTGAATTACGAATCGAATTCCTGTTCAATGTTTTCAACTGAAATACGGTAGACAAATTTTCAAACTTCGAAAAAATTCCAATTAAATTACTTTGGATTCTTTACTTGATAAAAAGCTAAGCTATTAGGTACAAATTAAAATTAATCACATGCTAAAACTTAGATACACCACTTAACGACTGACTTGATATTTTGTTTAGAATTATTCTGCATTTTACACAAACAAATTATTTAAAAACTCATGTCTATTTATAAACAAGCACCTGGTGTATAAACTGTGGTTTCCATGGGAACATCAATTCAGTAATGAGAGGCGAGCAGGTATTAGAGGAGGGCTTAGGACAAAGTATCAATTTGGGGCATCAACTGGGTTCAATAATCAATGCGTTAGTTTCTTGCCAACTACGCTCGTATACTTTGAGTAAGCTCGGAAACGCTTTCACTGGGAGGGGAAAGTTTCAGTTCAGTTTCGTAAATGTCTCTCATCTACTTCCACTTTGGCGTTCCGATGATGAATTAAAATTTAAAATTCATCCAGGGACGTGTAGTTAATAATTCTCGACGAACTGATGCACTCTCCGTTAGCTATTATTAAATCATACAGCATAACTCACTTTATCTCCAGACAGTGCTTTGTTCAGTTTAAATTTACCGGATAACGTAGAGTGACACTAACGTATTTCGAATAACTGGATGTATTACAATTTACTAATACCCTTTGACAACAGTTTAAACCGGATGATATTCCCTTGGATGCGACTTTTTAATTTGGATAAACTTCTTGTCACTTTTGACGTTCTCTTTGCTGTTTTCACAATTAAAACATCACGGAGAGTTTCCGTCAAGATAAATTAATAGCGATTATTTTTTAATCGTTCAAACGCCAATTTTAATTGTTTTCACTCGTGTTAAATGGTAAAACATTTACGTCATTGGTTGATCTTTAATTTCCCTCAAGCGAGTATTTTCAGTTTCGAGTCAAAGTGATATTTAATTAAAGTCCAACCCCTTTGGTGACCAACACCCGAGAACATGTAATTACTATGGTGTATACAAGCAGTATTGCTTACAACCTGCAATTAGTTGTGGCTAGTAAGACGACCAGCCTCCATGAATAGATATCTGTAACTCAGAACAAACCAAATCCGTGGCTTTGGCAATAATTTAAATTCTTTATCGAATCAAGTGTTGATTAATTACTAACCTTCTACAGTAGTACGTTGATAGAGCTTTTTAAGATTACCTTTTAAGATTAATTTGGTTTTTAGGCACTGTATTTTACCATTAAAATCTTAGTAAATATCAACCGATGCTTACATTTAAGATTTCTTTGTGACTCCTAACAGGCCGTCCCCCTGAGGAGGTAGCGTATCACTGAGTAACGTGTCAAAGTGATTTTGATGCCCAGTAACTTCGTTAAAGTTTTGTAGCTATATCTGTATTATTTCTTGAAATGTTTAACTGTCCCTGGCATATTTTCCACCTTGTATGTTTGGTGTGTGCTATTAAGCCTACTACAATGATTATATTGTTCTATAAAATTATTCTTTATTTGAAAAAGTCAGAAACATTGATCTCTCCCTGTTGTACCCTGACAAACGAAGAGTAACATGGGACCAATATAAAGTCTTCATAGAGGTGTAGCGGGAGGCGGGACCCAGGTGTGGCTAAGTATAATCACGCCACACATCACATTCTGACGACACAACGTAAAACTTCCCCATCTTACGGCTCAATCAATTCCTCATGTGTCTTCCGACCGAGCAGAGTGGAGTAACGGTGTGAAATAAAAATAAATAGATTTGAAAATATTTTCTCTTGATAACATTTACTGTTAGTGTAACTTAGATGTACACTACCTGTAAACCCGATTACATAATGGGAGTTCTAGTAAACTTCACTAATTCATACTTGAAGAGATCATTTGAAATGCCCATAGAGAATACTATGCAAAATGAATAATGCAAATACTATCGTTTGGTCAAGCAACTTTAATACGTATTTAAAAACGCGTTTTCATACAGGGCAGATCAAATGTAATACCTGTATCAGAAAACCAAATTTAAGAGTTTTTGATGTGATTAGTACCTAGTTAAAAGTTACTAAAAGCGAGTTTCTTTCACTTCTTATATTTTGCTAAAATCTACACATTATGTTAGGTGAAGTTCATCTGGCCACAAGCACTATGACAAAAAAGTTCTACTCTTCTTTGAATTATACTTTTAAGTTCTAAAAAAAAAATTTAATGCAATGACCATGTTACACCTGCATTTAGCAAAGTATATCCCACCATGTCGGGTTTATTCACTTCTCAAAACAACTTTTACTAGTTTATTGATACGTTTCAAACGAAATTGGAAGCGATCTCTAATTTGATACGGTAAGTTTGGATTTGAAAGTTTAAAATATTTCAAGGTGATAATCTTATTTACAAAATTCAATTAATTTAGCAAATTTACACATTTAAACATAACATTTTCGCCAATAGGTGATAGGTGAACATGATGCACGATTGATATTTTAGTTTTCATGCTACAACCCACGTACAGGATTCACAGTATTCACAGCGCCATATGCAACAGCCGTAAACCCAAGTCCCACATTATAAATTGATGGTACCGAGATGGCTGGGGCTTTACGGTGGTTTCAGAAGTGATGGAGAGGTGATTAAACCGCCATCACCTCCTCCAGCCATCACAGCAGAATCAGCTGATAGCAGAACACTACTAAAACACCGGGGTGTATTTAATATCAAGCACAGTTCAATTAAGTACCGAGAGCACACATAGCTAGAGTTAAATTACCAAGCTTAGCATTGAAGAAACAATCAGTTCTTAAGACGGTTTGCTAGCATGGGTAGGCCAAACGTTTATATTTTATATTAAATAACACAATGTTATATTTAAACAACAAAAATATATTAGTCTATAGGTATTTAAAAGTAACAACAGTTTTTGCATTTTACTAAACCATTTACAAAAATTGATCTTCTTGAAAAAGCTGTTTAAGAAATCTGAATGAAAATATTCACTTATTATATTGTGAACGTTATTTCACAAATTTTGGTGGAAAATTCGTAAAATGTTTTGACAGTTTAGCCGAAACCTATTATTGTAGTGTGTTCATTAAGAGCTTCATATACATTACTGTTCTAAAGTACATTACATTGTACTGATTATAAATAGTTAATAGCAATCGGCTAGGTTTTAGACTAGCTATCGAAACAGAACAACCATTTTCGGATTGCAAGTTCTCAAATTTTGAATTTCGTCGTAGCATTCGATAGTTTTGCTGACGCCACCGCTTCGGCATGTCACAACATGCACTACAGCACCAGTACGTAGGTTAGTCAATAAACGCTATTTTTATAAAAGGGTTTAGTAAAATACTAAAGAATTTAATGGAATGACAGCACCACGTGCATTAAACCATAGTTAATTTAATACTTAAAAAACATTTGTATAGTGAATGTTAAAAGAAAAATTGATTCATGCCTAAGTTCAATTACTATTTAATAGTTTTAACGAGTCGCATAACCATCTGTCAGTTAAACATTCTGTGACGCCAAAGTTGGTGTTTTAATTCTAATGTTGTTTCAAGAGGGTGGGAGGAGATACTGAAAAGAAGTTTATCCGAATTAAAAGTTGTTTCGGGTTTTAATTAAGGAGGATGAAGCCAGCTTCAGTTATCGTCAAAGGGATTTTCATCACGGTTTTTTTTTATTTGTCTGCCACTGCACTCGCCTTACCTAGTCATTTGCACAGACATAAATATTTTACATTATTGTTGTGTTTAAAACGTT